AGAATTGATTATATAAGCACCAAAAATTGGCGCCTATATGTATAGATTGGATGTCTCTTGCTGTCCCGCACTGTATAAACATAAAATTTTTTAATAAATAAAAAAAATTTAAATGGCAGTGAAAAAAAATTTAAATGTAATAAAAACCAATTACTGAATTTTGTATAGCCTAAAAGTTAACAAATTCTAAAAAAATGAGATAGTGATTATAAGCCTTTTGTGATTATATTGAAGGCTTTTTAATAATAAAATAATTGGCATTTGAATATTGTGTGATTGTATAGAGTTTGTGACTGTATAGGAGGTGACAGTATGGGGGACAACTGTATATGAATATTTCAAAAATAGATGGATTAGTAGCTATATTTACCTCTTGAAATTTGTCGACTCGGAAAAATTATGCTTAGTTATTTGCAAAAAGCTTTAGACTAAATTACCTTCAAAATTAAAGTATGCAAATGAATTAAAGAATAATATTAATAATAGAAATACCAGGCCAATTAAATTTCAGAATCAGGTGTAATGTAAAAATCGAAGCGAAGCCACTTTTTTACAAAAAAAAACGAGAATAGCTCAAAATTTTAATTAAGAAACCACTTTCTGACCTAATTAAAAACGTTCCTCGTGAAATTTTACTAATAGACTTAACCCTAACCCTAACTATAACATGGTTTAGTTTTACAACGCAACTTTTTACTTAGAAAACAAAACACGTTATCACGTTACACCTGATCTTAATTAATTTAATGTTACATTAAACTCGATTTTTGAATTATAGCAATTATAGCAGATCAGTATAGTACGGGCCAATTTTTAAAATTATATTTGGATCTGCAAAATTATAGAAATTAACGCTCGTATAGTATGGATTTAAAAATCAGCCTATACTATACTAATCTGCCCACCTATACTATACTCAAAATATTTTTTTTGTGCTTTATAACTTTGTGACAAAAAAAAAATGATATTGAGAAAATTTTATATTTTACGAATTTATTATCGTTATATAGAAGTTTATTCATTTTCTAAAGTAATACTTTGGTACCCTACTCGGTTACCAAGTCACCAGCATATTCGAGCTGTATCTTCTGAAAGGAATGGTCAAGATCGTTTGCAAAAGTATGATGAATTGAAAGCCTTATTTGACAAAGCCCATATTAGCGCTGAAGAATTTAAGGAAGCCAGATCTAATTTACTTAAATACTTTACGCAAAAAGTACCTGGTAAGTACTTTCTTAACAGTAGGGTTATTAATGGAGTACTCTAGACTATAATAAACATATAACCTGCCACTGGAGTGCTCTGGAGTGGGTTATATTGACTGGAGTACTCCATTAACAACCCTACTTAACAGAAAACAGCTTCATGACTCAGGCATTGGGGGCAATTTTTGCATTGAAAATCAAGTTTTGATCATTATTTGTAAAATGACTTAATTCCTTTTATTCATCTCAATATTAGAATCGGAAGGCAAGTACATTTTAATTTTCTGCATGTGAAGGACCATTATCATTTAATTTAATTTTTTTTTTAAAAAAATAGGTTTACATCCAGTTATTCTGGAGTATAAGGATCCACTTCAGTTGTTATCTACTCATGGAGCCAATTGGGATTATCAAGAGGCTCCTGAGTTGTGAGAAATTCTAGAAAGATCATTAATCAGATTTTTCTATGTCTACAAGGAGGGCAATAGAGAAAAGAAAAACTCTCTGCTACTTACTATTATGGGAGGTGCAGGTATTGGAAAGTCAAGACTTCTCATGAAGCTGCCAAAAATAGCTCGATCTGCAGTCAATAACGATGAATTAAAAAAACACCTTGACAATGCATTAGTATTCAACATAAGCTTTGAAAATGGAACTAGTTATGATTCAGTTGAAGACCATGATCCGTTAATTGCAATTGGTGTACGAATGCTATGGCAGTTACAAACAGACCCTAACGATGATTTTTCAACATTTCAAAGAAACCCAGAGCACCGTTTGGGTCCAAATGACGTATTAAAACGTATTGCTCGTTTTAGACATCAAAAGGCTAGTGATTTAACAGTATTTTTACTGCTTGATAGTATTCATAACCTAATGGAAAATTCTGATGATGGATTGAATAAAAATAGCAGATTTTATTCATGTCTCTCAATCATGGCAAATAATATAATTACATCTAAACCATTTATTATTGGATGTTGTTCTGCCACAAGTATGAAGCCTATGAGGGATATTTTGGCAAAATCTAGACAATTACATATTCAATTGCTCATACCACAACTGAAAGCTCCTAGTTGTTTCCATAGACCAGTATTTGATATGGAAAAACCCCTTGTAAAGATCCTTGTTGAAGATATGGGTGGAAATAGCCGTGCATTGGAAGCATTAGAGCAAGTGATACCATTGAATATTGATGATTATTGTATTAGTGACATTATTCACAACCTGATTAAGGAATTATTAGACCTTTACTCTGGTGTTCTTGATCGTTCTGACTGCTACAAAGAAATATTACAAGTAATTTTGAGTAACACACCAGTCAATATTAATTTTTCTATACCAGGAACCGATCTGCGTCCAGATCAATTTGCTGAAATGGGATTAGTTCGTTTTGAAGCTGGAAATAGTGCATTTGATAGATTGACTTGTCCATATGTGTGGTTATGGTTGATAGCACGTTTGGTTGATTATCCAATTCTTTTAAATTGGAGATTTGATGACTACAATGAAATCCAACACTTTCATAATCCTGAAAAAATCCCACCAGGCGCACAGCTTTGGCAGAATTTCGAGCGATTTGTTGCAGATTTCCGAGTATTAAAGTCAGAAATATACAAATATGTAAAACATTCAATCCACACAATACACCCCGGTGGTGTATTTGATTTACGCAATGATAATGATATTTATCTAAAGTCCAAGCCACTCAAACTCGTTTGTTCCTCAAATCGGGTTAGCACGAAGTCCAGTAGTGTAGCTTCCATTATGCACGAAAGTGGAACAATAGATGCCAGTGATGAACGACATTTGATTTTAAATGGTGAAGGTGCCTCTGCTGGTGATGTATTTTGCTATATCAGGACAAGAAAGAAACATAACAGAGGTCTTACAGATAAAGAAGCTTGATCGTAAAGCCAGTATCTCACTCAGTATGTATCTTGAGGAAAGAGACAAAGCTGCTGGCGTTAATGATATATTTCTTATAGTAACAACCGGAAGAAATCATATAGATTCTTCACAACTTCCTGTGCGTTCAGGGATAGTTCATCAAAACAACTGGAAGGAGTATTTTGTCCATTTTCGGGTAGAGCTTTCATTTATGCCAATGTAGAGCCACCAGATATTAACACAGCAAGTCGTTGTTGGCTTTCTGGTATCGATGGTATTGGTCGCAAATATGCTGATATTATAATTAGGAGACGACCTTATTATTCCTTAGAAGATTGTCATCAGAAGACTGGCATCTCGCTTAAAGTTCTTAAGCAGTGTAACTGTATAATCAATCGTGGTAATAATTATGATGGTTTTGCTGAAACAATAAGATAATGTATTATTTATCTAATACATTACTTTTTCCGATAATTTATCTACCAACTTATCTCTATGGTATAAGTAAATGACCCAATTAATGCAAGAAGCCTTACTAAAACATGAAGCAATAATTTTCGTCATACATCTAGCTGTAATGATCAATGTTTATTTAATAAAGTTAAAGACTATCAATGCTTGAATTTACCGATCCAATGAGTTTTAGCTAGTGAAGTTCAATGGTCATGTTTAGTTATACTGTGACTAAAATTTCCTAAATATTTTACCATTTACCATTGTAAATAGTATTCCCCAAAATGATGTCCTACCCCTCCATCGATAAAATTACTAAACCCGTGAATAGTACTCTGTACTAATCAATTCTTAACCCGTGTATTATATAGTGTTAAACGGTAATGTTACAGTAATAGTTATAATATTATGATAATATCAAATTTTATCATTAAATTAAACGTAAAAATTATCTTCGAAGAGCTTTATTCTTTATAGGGTTTGGAGGTTCGACATAACAAATTAGTCAATAGTACAGTATTTATTTACTTAGGTACCGTTTGATAAAAAAAAAAAATCAAATAAAGATTAAGTGCGATTATTAAGAAAAAAATTAAAAGGATAAGATTGAAAATGATGGAAAAACATAAAATTCTGTAATTCATATTTATTGCTGGCAATAAAGGTTTAAAGTCTAATTTATAAACACATCTGTTTATGATTACATAAATGATTCGAATTATCAATCCTTCCCAGCATAACCAACAGAATCTCAGCTAAGTTCGTTTATTATATCAGGTTTAGATATGGGTGCTTTATATAGTAATATTGCTCAACGAAAACTTTATTCAAAATGCGATATCCTGCGCTAATTTTTTAACTTTACAGAAACCTATGTTTTTTTGCTAAATATATTTATCATTTATTATTAACAATATTATTATTATATGATCTAAAATAGTATATAATAAATATACTTTGAATATATATTAATCATGTAATAATTATATTTTTGTTCTTTCTGCTAACTCTCTTGTAACTTCATTACTAATAATATGTTTGTTATATAGATACAATATAATTTTATGTATAAAATAATCTGTTATTAATCTAATATTAATAATAATAATGACAAAATAAAATAAAAAAATTCCAATATTATAATAATATAATAGTCCTATAATAAATATATTAAATTATTTATAAGGGAAATTCTATTTTGACCCAGATCATTTTAACCTGTCACGTGATTATCTGACCAGTGTGGCTTGAATTGAGCTTCTAGCCATTAAAAGCACAAGTCACATGTTTGACATTTTGGTATGAACCAACCAAATTGCACTGTTAGATAGGTTCAAATAAATCTAAATTTGATCCTACTTGTATGTACATATTAACCATACGAGATCCCAAAATCTTTTTAAAGTTTTTTAAAACTTTAAGACAATATTTCTCAATAAATACTTAACTAACTTTGGCAAATTTTTTTTTATTTTAATTCTATAAGCTAATAGAATTAGAATAAAAGATATTTTATTGAATTTAGCTAGATAGTCAGTCATTGAGAAAACTTCACTTAAAGTTGAATTTTACTATAGCTTTTTGATTTTTTCGAAGATTTTTAATCAAACTTTAAGCAAAGTTTTCTCAATGACTATCTAACTAAATTCAATAAAATTTCTTTTATTCTAATTCTATTAGCTTATAGAATTAAAATAAAAAAAATTCACCGAAGTTAATTAAGTATTCATCAAAAAATATTGTCTTAAAGTTATAAAAAACTTTAAAAGTATTTTGGAATTCCATATGAGTTGATGGTTGATATATACATATAAGTAGGATCATTTGAATATATCTAATAGTGTGATCTGATTGGTTTACACCAAAGTGTCAAACATGTTACTTGTGTTTTAATGGATTGGAGCTCGATTCAAGCCACACTGGTTAGGTAATCACATGACAGGTTAAAATGACCCAGGTCAAAATAGAATTTCTTTTAAATATATATATATAATCAATTTATAAAAAAAAAAATTAAAGTTATTTGATTTTTAAAGTTAAAATTTTTAAGTTTTGACTAATTAAAATCTAGTATTTTTTCAAGCTATTAATTTGGTATAGTTATCAGAAAATCCTACACTTTATTTTTTTAGCATTTAATATTTATTTTCATCACATATTGTTTAGATAAATTATACTAATATACAATATTTATTGATTAATAATAAATGATGCATGACATATCAATATTGAATTGAAAATAAATCAATAAATAATGCAGTGCTTCTACATTATGATAAATAAAAAACTTAGAAGATTGTCAAGGCAAAATAAAAAATAAAAAATATGTAGGTACACCTCTAGCTATTGAAAATATCCAGATACACTAGTTAGCAATTTGCAGTATTAAAAAAAATTGTATCATTGTATATCTTAACATTTTAATAATAAAGACAAAAATATTTTATAACTGCATATTGTTTGAAAAAAATTCAACAGATTTTTTGAGAACTAAAATTAGCTAGTCTTAGTTTTTTCAAAGACTAATCTATCATTATAAATTAGTTATAACATATTTTAATTAATTTATTAAATTTATTTATATTATATAGTTAATTAATATTTATATTATATATGCTAATTTAATA